TGGCCGTCACGGAAAATAAATATTTTACGTAATAATAGAGCGGAATACAGCCTCGCTGAGTTTGCAGAGTTATGTACTTGTTTATCTTTTTAAAATATTATCATGTGTAATTATGAAAATAGCCTGATGTAGGTATATTGTGATTACTTTCACATGACAGTCCAGTTTTCCTGTCACACGATATTCCTGCATTACTGGATCCCGCAAAACTTGATTGCCATGGGAACGAGCCCCACTTGTACGAAACACACTAGCGCGAAAGACATTTGTGCAAAAAGCCATTTGCGCGCATGGAAACTTGAGTGAAAAGAGATGAGCGCGAATGGACGTTTGCGAGAAAAGATTAGTTAATAATAATTATGCGAGAATTGTTATCGTGCTAATCTCTTTCGCGCTAGTGTTTTTCGCGCTCATGTCTTTTCGCGCAAGTGTTCATGCGCGCAAATGGCTTTTTGCGCTAGTGTCTTTCTTGCTTGTCTTTCACGCTAGTGTGTTTCGCGCAAGTATCCCGATACGGTAAAAAACAAGATGTCTACGTGGGATCAAGCCCTTATGTTTATGAACAAAGTAGGTACAAAATAATGCCAATCACGTTGGACATTGGACACGCACCCCAGTATCTTGTGTCCTTCTACAGCTTTTCGAAAACCCCAAATCTCGTGACGAACTTCTGATTCAATTACTAGAATATACAGTAACGATTGGGTCCTTGACAAGACGGGTCTCTTTATACACTTCAAGATTCCGAAAAGGTCCGCTTTGAATGGGAAATATTTCATTTATTTTCTCCCAAAAGCGACCGCGAGTTGGAGTGGTTTTTGTTGTAATGAAAGTTTACAAATACAAATACAAAATCATTTATTGTGAATCATAGGTAAAATGGTGACATGTTACATTAGGTAGTATCACTATGTTCCGCTCAAAGAGCAAGTTTAGGTAGCAAGTGTTGGATTCTATTGCTTTTTCTTAGTATGTCAGATAAGAAACTTTTTCAGCTAATTGGGTAATCTATTAGATACAGAAAGTAAACATTGGAACAACTGAAAGAAAAGTCTGAATGATAGTGGTCAAGAAAGCTTCTTATTTCAAGTTTATGTTGTCGTTACAGGTCATGGTTGTGAAATCTACCCAGAAGGCAGACGAAAATAGTTCTGTGAACTATCGCTTGCACATGGTTAAATGCTTTTAAAAAGATAGACTAAAGTATAGACAATTTAATCTGATTATTTTTGCTAGAATTAGAGAGTTAATAGTCTTTTGTGATAGATATTGGAATAATCCACTATTAGCGTAGTAGTAGAGCGATTCAGGTGAAACGATTAAATTTTGTGTCCATAATCATATAATGAGTACGAGTACATACAATCTGGAATACAGAATAACCGAGAAAGATAAGGTACAAAGTTATGTAAAGGTTGAACAACAAAAAATCTACCGATAACATACCTGTAAAATTGGTCGATAAAGTACCACAAAGCCTTCATAGCCAATAAAGGCCCTCCACCGGGACCGGCTCGTCCACAATCGATGCCAAATTATACGATTTTGTCTGTCGATTGTAATCGGATGAGGAGTGACAGGCAGGCAGTGACGTGGAGCGCCCTTTATATGATAATGTTGGCTCCACATCCCGTTGTACTTGTGAACGTACATGATGTTAGCATCATAATAAAATTGTATCCATATTTCCGAACTCTAGAAAAGATGGTAATGTTAGACCCGAGTTTCAAACCCGAGTTTTGATCGGAATATTAGGCACAAGTTTATATCAGATGCCCTATATTAGGTACGATCAGGTTAAAATGAAGCACACGAAGTTTAACAATGAAAATTATGATGAACTAGCGGCCGCCCGCGACTTCGTACGCGTGGATCCCGTTTTATCCCCTTTAATTTTTTCCTGAATTTTCTTTACTATAAACCTCACGGAGCCCGAGACCTTTCCAACGAATGCAAAACCGTGGAAATCGGTTCTTGCGTTCTGGAGTTATAGCGTCAGGGAGGAAAACCCGACTTATTTTTATATAGTAGATTGATGAGAGGTTATGGTTTTTATGACGTTCATTCGATTTTTTCGTCGTCGTACATTATTTGTATATCAATCAATTTGACATTGCCATGGTCATTCTATTTAATTTTGCGATGTGATCAATAATCATCATTAATTCGATAAATCATTCAAACATTGATATAAAACGATAAGTCATCACATTATGCCCAAAACATACGTATTTTAAAGACAAACTGACAAACCGCTTGATTGATGTTATGTATACAGGCAAATGCGAACGCAAACTGATGGAAATAGAATCCTAACAAAACATAAAGTTAAGGAAAGGCCAAGCTACAAGCTAAATAGCTGAAAATATGCATAACCTACATAGTAAACAGCCTTCCCGCGGGTGTCGTAAGAGGCGACTTAGGGACTACACATCAAACAGAGAATGGGCAGCAGCGCTCTCTGAAAAACATCAATCTTTTAAACTGCGATCTCCAACCCGCCTGCCTAGCGTGGAGATTATGGCAAAACCCTCCACTATAGTGGAGGAGGCTCATAGTCCAGCAGTGGACTGTAAAGGGCTGTTGATGATGATGATGAAACAGCCTTAATGATTTTAATAAATTAACACCCACAATTAGGCTCGGAAACGTGGCCTCTCACTATAGGCCTTATACAGAAGCTCAAAGTTGCACAGCGTGCTATGGAGAGGGCTATGCTTGGTGTTTCTTTGCGAGATCGAATCAGAAATGAGGAGATCCGTAAACGAACCAAAGTCGCTGACATAGCCCGACGGATTAGCAAGCTGAAGTGGCAATGGGCAGGGCACATAGTACGCAGAACTGACGGCCGATGGGGCAGAAAGGTTCTGGAATGGAGGCCGCGTACCGGAAAACGCAGCGTGGGACGTCCACCTACAAGGTGGACCGACGACATCGTAAAGGTAGCAGGGAAGCGCTGGACGCAGGCCGCTACCAATCGATCAACATGGAAAGCATTGGGGGAGGCCTATGTTCAGCAGTGGACGTCCTGTAGCTGAAATGATGATGATGATGATGATGATGAACACCCACAAAATCTCTATCTAAAACACCGCATTGCCACTAGCTCCAATTGAAAGAGCATTTCAGTAGCACTAATATAAATAAAAAAACAATCAATTAATTTAGTAGATATTTTACAGATCTACCTATAGGTACAACACAAAGCTCTACGTAATTCTGCTTAACACTAGAGTACACGCGTGGCCTACTATAGTAGACCAGGGTAACATTTTACGCTATAACTTTTTAAAATCTTGCGCCAGAGAGCTGGCATTCCAGGAAAGCCTCGTTTACTAAATTTGTCAATAAGCCAGTAAAGCTTGGGTCGCCAGCGTCTGCGCATTTTTCTAAAATTGGCCGTCAAAACTGCGGTTCTACTCAAAAGCCCGAAATCACTCGACAAAAAAATTATGGAAGACTTGCAAAAAGTGGATTTACCCCATGTACCAGGTAGTAGAAAGTCTTGAATGCTATGAAAGATAAAAAACAAATCATATTTTTTCAGTAAATAATTTTTTTGCTAACATGGATCACAGAGTGCAATTTTGGTCCAAAAATTTACAAATTTTAAATCCGTTTATAATTTTTGATCCCAAATAGTTTTATAAAGAAACTTTGATTATAAAAGAACTATAATAAACACCTTTATTATTTACACAGTAATTTTATTCATAAATTGCTTACAAACTGATTTACAGTGATTTTAAATTGGCTTACCAGAGTAGGCCGCGCGTGTATTTGTGTAAAAAAAGGGGCGCGTGTACTGTAGTGTTAAATACCTACAAAACCATTTAATTTTGTGTTAGATTCCATGAAACATTCAATTAATTAGCTGATATGTGTTAAACATACACCAAACGTAATAAATACTTAAATCTCAACACTAGAGTGCCGTTGAAAACATATTCATAAGTTTCTGATGAAAAGGTTGATATTTTATAGGTATGAATATCAGCAGCATAATATGCTCCCAATAATAACCAATACTTTCAGGAAACTTCAGCCACAGTATAAGGCAATTTATTAAGGCCAGCTAAAGTTAATTACACGCATAGATTTATCCTTCCGAAAGACAAATCCTGGGTAATATCGGCCTGATTGATGATGTTTGAGGAGCGGCGCTAGTGTGCACAGCGCGGCGATGGAAATCGCCGGGCGTTATGCGACTAGCGGCCGCCCGCATATATCTGCTGTTTCATTATTATTTTATGCCCCCTAAATACAACCTCTTATGTACTGTTTTTAAAAATTCATTCAGTTCTGTAGAATGTCATTTATTTATTTTTTTATTTCATGGCAAACTTTCATTTTTAATCTATAATTTAATCCTTAGGGTGCTAAACAATCTGTGCGATCTTTTGTTGGATTTATTTGACTCATGATGTAATCTACATAATATTGCTCTCAAAGGCAATGTATCGTCTAATATGCCTCTAGAACTAGATACACATAAGAAGCCAAAATCCTTTGTACATCTTCTATGTTGATTACCTACTTCAATATGTACCGTTACGTCGTTTCATGTAGACACAGCAATATCTAGGTCTGAGCACACTAGCTTTACTACGAAATCTGGAAATTGCTTCCCCGCAATATCCACAAAGGTTGTAAAGGAAGGCATTCCGAACTCAAATTGAAGTGTGTTTTTTTTCACCTGGAACTAAACTCACTCTATACATTTTAAACTCTCAAGTTTGCCAACAAAACCAGTACATTACGAAACAATGCTTACTCTTTAAGAACGAGGCGAAGCCACGACAAATTGCTCAAGTCAAAAGCCAGCCGCACTAAAACTGTCAAAAGAAAACAGTATAATTCAAACAGAAACGCGGTATGAAAAGGAAATACGGTGCATACAAGTTTGAAGAAGTGAAGTACGCATGCGCGGTTTCGTACCCAGCCTCTGAGTCCTTAGCCCGAGCAGTAGCGAGCCGCACGCCGGGGGCACCCTAGTCGTCGGCCGTCCGAAACTCGCGTTCTGTTTTCGAAACTTCGAACAAGCGAAATGCCGCATTCGAAATATTTTTTTCTTTCTCCAAACTAGTTGCCAGTGTTTTTAAAGTTCGTCCAATGTTAGTTTAAGGTGGAAGGCGATGGGCGTCAAAAACTTAGTGATGCAGTGGTCGAAAATACAGATTGTTGTGTTGGGAATTTCAGTGTTGTTCCGATGTACAGATTCAGTTGGTAAGTTTTTTTAAATAACTTTTTTACAATAATATTTGTTTAAGTACTTATATTTAAATTTTTAGGAAAAAAGAAAAACGTTTAAACACGAGTTCGTGTTTTAGTAACATGAAAAGCAATATACAAAAAGTAAGGTTTAATTTGAAGTTGCTGTTCGGTCAGTTTTAGCTATGATTAAGGTAAAAAGGGTCCTCATTAAGGATAGGGAGATGAAATTGAAGCTAGTCCCTACTAAATTTATTAGTACGGATTATAAAATTTAAATTTTTGAGGCATTTACCTAAACACAATAATTTTATGTAAATAATATGCATGACAGAATTATAATCCAGGGATATGTAGGTAGGTAAGTATTAAGTAATCGTAATACGTAATCTAGGTATCATTTGACTGCCTAGCTCGCATCAATGCAAACATTGAAAATCCTACACCATACTTAATTGAGGTTGCAAAATTGTAAATCCTACGACAAAAATAGAGACGTGAGTATCTTTGCGCTGCTTCTTCTCAGCACTAATCTATATTATTGACCCAAAGAGGTGATAATTATCAAGGTTTCTGGTAATAGAAGCCTGATTCAAAGTCCTGCCACTTTATCATAAATTAGTATTTGATGATTATCTCAATTACTTTCGTGTTTTATAAGCATTTTGACAAAATATATGGGCTAAAAGTTTTTTTTTTAGTTTTATCTCAGCGTGAGAAGACTATAAAGAATTCCGAATAGAGACGAATAATAAAATAATTTTCTATAGAACTGGAAACTCGATTTTTATGAGGACTGTTGTACCTACACGCTGAACTATTTCAATAAGACACTCTTTCTCTCTCATGCCCGCATCGCATCTTGGTTGACTCTTTTTCTCTCATGCTGGTATCTCATCTATGAATACCTTTAACAAAATCATGCTACTTACGAAACTGATTTCTACGACTGATCCTTACTTATTTTGGTGATCAAAGATTTATCTAACCGAATATCAGTCGGTATTTAACATCAAAGTAATCGAAAGATTACTGATTCTCGCGTTCTATTCATGCGGGCTGTAGGTAATAGCAATTCGGACAGCAAGCCAAAGTAGTCTGCAAACGTTATGGAAGCGAATGAATTTTATAAACATCACTAGCTGTGCCCGTGACTTCGTATGCTCTTAGGAGTACGATGTCGTAATAAGTACAAGTTCTTAGCAGAAAATGATGTCGATTTTTGACAGCCGAGATCCAAGTTAGAGGTAAGATAGCCAGTTCCTCCGTGGTTGAGGATTCCGGGTGCAAGCGAACTTTCCACCTTCGGCCTGATCGTCACTTACCATCAGGTGAGATACAGGTCAAGAGCTTCCTCGTTGTGGATAAAAAAAAGTAAATTGGATACTACAACATTATCGACATTTACATGTTGTCTGGTAACTGAAGATCGATAATCTGTAAAGGTCGTTATTTATGAAATACAATCCGATACGTCTTATTCTAATCGACATAGCGATGTGATTAAGTTTACCGATGTTCAAGAAATATCTAGATTTTGTGGTGAACGTCTTTATCGATTTTCACACATTTCAGTGCTAAGAGTTTGACATGTCCCCATGTTACTTGTTCCTTATACATGCCAGAAATTAATTCCATTCATCTATGATAATGTTCACCATATTTAAGTATTGCTAAACTTATTAGCTACTTTCATTGTTTTCGTCAAATACTGAAATGCTTTTTAGCTTTGAAACGTGGCATTAATGAAATGAGCTTACAGCTTAAATTAAACTTGGAAAAGTCGAAACTTTTACGCTTTTCGAAGCCGAGTGGTTGAAGCAGTTGCGACAAGTAGAAGGTAGTAGGTTCAAGTTCTAGTAGTAGGTTTAAGTTCTTTTATAATGCGAACAGCTAGGAACTGGAATTCCCTGCCTGCTGCTGTTTTTCCTGAACACTATAATCCGGGCCTTTTCAAGGCGAGAGTGAATAGGCACTTACAGGGCAGATATGTACCATCCTAGACTGCATCTCACTTAACACCAGGTGCGATTGCGGTCAAATACCTGCCTTGTCTTGCATAAAAGAAAGTCCCGTCTGTGCAAGTCATATTTAAGTGAAAATTTCTTATTTGCGGAGTATTTAGTAAAAAAATCAACATTATACCTTAGCTTTAGTTTGTAAGCGTCCTCAGAGCCGTGCTCTCTGTGCCTGCAAAATGCTGAGATGTTTTATTCATCAATGCTTTGCTTCGAGTTTGTTGATTGAACCAACGGGATTTATAATTTTATTTGGCTTCTGTATCAGCACAATAATGTTTACCGCTGACTTAACGATGTTCTCGTTTACAAATAACAAAATGAAAATCCAAACAATTTTCTGCCAGTGTGCGTTTGATTACTACAATGTCCAAAACTAAATATACCTTAACTTTATGAAAATTACAAATTCAGGGAGGTCAAAATTATGTTATTGCTTTTGATATTCTGACAAAAAGAAAAACTGTCTTACTGTAAGGGCTAAGGGCATAAATGAAAGTGATATAATCACTACATAGCATAAAACAAAGTCGCTTTCCTGTCTGTCTGTCCTTACATACATGTTAGATTTTTAAAACTACGCAACAGATTTTGATGCGGTTTTTTTAATACATAGAGTGATTTTCAAGAAAGGTTTATAAGTACAATACATTGTACCTGTGCGAAGCAGGAGCGGGACGCTAGTTAAACTAAAATAAATGACATGTCAAAATAATCCGAAACCAGTACAACAGGAACAATTAAAATCAGCCGAGGCCTTTTAATTTACATTTTAATTAATGACTGCGATAAATAGCTATCAACATCCCTTTAATTTGTGCTCTTAAACAGAACATTCTGTACAACAAAAAGGCTAATTGCATTGTTTTTCCGGAAATTTGAACTTTTTTGTATTACGCGATTATTTTTATATTTTTCAATAGTCGTGTTTTGACGAGCTGAGTTTTAAAAGCAAATGGAATAGCATCCATATTTTTTGGTCTAACACAGGTCCAAAGTGTTCATAGAATTCGAGATTCATCAGTATCTATGCCTAGCCATTGATAGTGCAGTCACGGGTGCAGTGAGAGACGATGGCTGTACGTTTGTTCGACAGGTGCTTTTTGAGTAAGTAAAATTATAATTTGAAAAATGTCACTGGAATTTATTCTTGTTTTCTTGGACTCAAGACTCAACATCGTGATTTGCAACCGCACAACAGTTATAGTTATAAAACAATATTCACTTATAACTTGGTTAATCCGAGAGTCGATATGTACTCGTATGTATGAATAGGTAGGTAGGTAGCGTCACGTTCGCAATGGATTAATTTAAAACACAATATTTTATTACTTATTATAACTGATTGGGCTATTGTTAAAACAGCATGATTGTTTAAATAATATTATTATTGCTCACTTTTATGAATTCCGGCGAACATGCCCACTTGTGTAAACCGTACAATAATGAAACTAATTTGTATATTTTCAATTCATTACGTTTCACTGAAACCAAAATCCACAAAATTGAATCGGTAATCCGAAAAATAATACCGGCGATTAACGGTGTGCTCACATCGACGCTATCGGTCGGCGCCAATAAATTACCTGGCAACATTCGAAATGTAATTAATCGGGCAATATTTCAAAGATGCAGCTCCATTTTAAAAGCAGTTGACAGCTACTGCGATTTTAAATCCATTCCAATATTGTACAAAAATTAACGAACGATTTCTGATGGTTAATTGGACGTAATCTTTTGATTAAAATGTCGACGGCAGAAAGCGGAAATGTCGTATCTCAAAAATTGGCTAAAATGACTTTTAATTGTATTGTATTAAGAAAAAAAAGCCGCGTCGAATGGTGTATGTATCGTCTTTCTATGATGAAAAAAAATATAGATACGTCATAGAATTTTTTCCAGTTTTTTTACAATTTACTTGACCAATTGCTGTAACTGGTCAAAAAAACGCAACTTTCGAAAATAAAATAGATACGACCACACTACTAGTATGTTAAACAGTTACAGCACTCTTTTTCTGAGTCGAACATTAATTTTTAAGGAGATACAGCATTTCAGCCGCCCTAAAATCTTACGATGTCGAACATACAGCAAATGAGCCGAACTGACGTGAGTACTTATAAAATAGTTACTACATTTCAAACGTATCATCTAATAGCGAAAATCTTACTAACATCATTAGAATAGAGTCTTGTTTTGTGTACAGCAAGTAATACGTCACTCTAGCAAAACAAACCCCCTCCACCCGCTGTGTCATACGCCATTCTGATCACGCGGCAGTTGTGCGTTAGCGCCGATAGTGAGAACGCAGAATTGTAAATTCTTAAAATAAATATTATTTTACATTTTTATTTGTTATTTCGTTTCAGCCGAAAGACGTCCATTGCTGGACAAAGGCCTCCCCCAAGGATTTCCACAAAGACCGGTCCTGCGCCGCTCGCGTCCAGGCCACGCATTTTGTCTTGTCCATGTTCATTTTAAGACCCACTTATTGAGAGGCTCTACTGAGGCCATCGAGCATTGTGTTTAGGTCCTCCACGGTCTCAGCCATGACTACGATATCGTCCGCGAAACGAAGGTGGGTGATATACTCGCCGTTGATATTTATGCCGAATCCGCTCCAGTCCAGAAGCTTGAAAACATCTTCCAGGGCGGTGGTGAACAGTTTCGGAGATATGACATCTCCCTGTCTCACTCCTCGCTGCAACTGGATAAGTTTCGATTTCTGATCCTGGACAGTGCTCAGAAATCGAAACTTATCCAGTCAATGTTGGTCCGCCCAACATTGTAGCGTTTTCGTACAAGCCCTTCAGCACTTCGATGTATCTATAGTCAATTTGGCACCGTTGGAGAGACTGTAGCACTGCCCAGGTCAGTCGAAGGCTTTTTCATAGTCCACAAACGCCTAAGAGGCTGATTATAATCTGCCGTAACGTATGTATGTGGTATATGGTACTAAAGCCTTTTCGGAAACCGGCTTGTTCGGGAGGCTGGAAGTCGTCGAGCCTGCGTGCGAGACGATTCGTGATGACTCTCGAAAACAGCTTGTAGACATGGCTTAGAAGTGAGATAGGTCTATAAATTTTTCAACAAGGTTTTGTCGCCTTTTTTGAAGAAAAGTTTCACCACACTTCTGTGCCATGCCGTAGGCGTTTTTCCCTCAAGTATGACGGAATCGAACAGCCTCTGAAGAGCCTTTAGTACCGGCGTTCCACCTGCTTTCAGAAGCTCAGCCGTGATTACATCATCACCCGGTGCCTTGTTGTTTTTCAGCAGTTTGAGAGCCATTCTAATCTCGTACAGACTGACATTATATCTTCGGTGTAGTGTCGGGTGAATCTAGCTTTTGGGTCTTCATCTAGATTTNAAAGCAGGATAATTCCAACCATGTTTATGTACTTCTGTGTGACCCTAAGGTCACAGTGGTAATTGGGAAAATCTGAGTTACATTACTTTCCTTAAAAATATTAGGCTGGGTTGCACCATCTTGCGATTGTGGTCAAATACCTGCCTTGTTATGCATAAAAAAAAATCTTATTTTAACTTCGACAAGCGTCAAAAATCTGTCAAACTCCATACGTGATGGTGATAGCAACATCCATAGCATAGGTGATTCAACTCAAGCGATGAAGTTTTGGCAAAAGATTGCCTATGGCCAGATAAATGTATTTACAAAAATAATCCAAGGACTCATTTGATTGATCTTAGGTATATCGACTATCAAAATATTATCCGAATTGCGAACTTACACTCAAAGATAATAAAGGAAATCTAAAATTATTTTCCGCACCTAAAAGTATGTTAGTAGTAGGTACCTATAGCCAATCAATAACATTTGATATTATCTAATCAGAAAGAAGGCGTTTGCGTTTGTCACTTCGTATGAACAAGAGTTGTTTCTGTTTTTTCTGTTACATTAAAAGACAGAAACAACTTCGTGTTCATAAACGAACTCGGAGGCATTTCTGTCTTTTAATGTAACAGAAACGAACCTGTCATGATGACTCCGAGTTCGTTTATGAACACAAGATTGTTTCTATATTTTCTGTTAATTTTTACGCAGTTGGGTTTCTCGTTTTTTCAATAATATTTTTATCAAACAAGGTTGATAAGATGTCTTCATGATACTCGGTTCGTTCGTATACAGCTGTTTCGTAACGATAAAAACGACGTTAATCTGAAGTAAGAGAACTTTATCAGAATATTTCATCACAGTAGGATTCAGAGTAACCTACATTCAAAGTAGGTAGTTAAGGTATTGGAAATGTTACTTTACGGCTTTTGTGATAAATTCTCAGATTATTTATGGACGAGAGACGAGAATTCGTATAGTATCGTTCGTTTTACAAAGTTTGTTAACGTTACTCAATGCCTTAAAATTTAATGAATGAACAAAGCAAATTAAAGTTACCCAGGTAGGATACAGTTTGCAACTTTGTAAGTACTATAATTGTATAGTCGAAAATTTCATTTTAAACAACGATCTTTTAAAATAGGTAATAGCTAACTGATAATTTTGACCTTCATTATTCTTTACGGAACCCTTACTTTGCATCTTTGAACCCCGTTTGACCACAGAACGACAAACAGAACTTTTCTGAAGAATGATAATTCCCACTCTGTTAGGTCACCTCAAGGGAGGTTGTCAACCCTAGCCCTGGCTAACCTTATTATCAACATCACGTGCAAGTAGAGCTCAATCAGTCCAATACGAATCCTATCTTATCTGGGCCGTAAGCGGAGTCTTTCACAAATAAATACCACGACCGCGAACGAATATTATCGTATTATTCATCAAAATTAACGGCTTACGACGACTGAAGTTTAGAATTTCAAACTCACTAGCCCGGAAAATTGGATGAAAATATTGGACAGCGATTGTCTTTTCTTCAACGTTTAAAATTTCATGCTTTGGTAGACAAGTTTTATGTTGACCTCGTAAAGAAGTTAAAGTAAGTAGTACCTACCTAACCTAGACCCAGATAAAATCTAACAAGTTCTGGGTTTAAGTTGGTACCTACTATATCAGAAATGTCCATTTTATAGGTGAAGAAGATGCTCACCACAAAATTTTACAGGAAATGTGTCAACGGGCGAGTCAAAAATAAACACAGCTCGTTTATTGAAGGAAGTCCCGACCAGGCGAACTTAAAGTAGCTGAAAGTGGCAGCGACGACTAAAGAGTTGGAACTCTTATGCTACGATTTCGAAATTGCAGTTTGGTGGTCTTAAAGCTAAGCAATTTCTTCCACCTAACTCACTGACAGCCTAGTAACAGTGGTTCGACTTACACGTAGCGAAATTCAAAAGTTCTAATTCCCCTTCGAAGTAAATTCATAATCACTACTACTACTACCTATAATAATTTAAATGCAATCGCATAGATGGAATATTGTAGAAGTGTGGTAGAAGCAAACCAATATTTATTGCAATACCTACTTACCTATTTGCAATTCGAAACACGCGCAAGGATGCGTAATTTATTTGGGACACCCGTTCTTCGTCGAATTTCGGCTGATTGGCACAAATGCAGTTATTATAACGAAATAAAAGCTAAAAAGAGAGTTGGTAGGTAGGTAGGTACGTTGCATAATGCACCCTATTGACCTTACTAAATGCAAATTAAGTTTACATAGGTTGCTAACAATCCAATTTGATAGCAATGGTGGCAAAGTCAAGGTGGGAACGACGCCAGTGGTGACGACTGGGAATAACTGGGGCTAAATGATTAATAGTGTAGTTTAAATAATCTCCTCTACTACATTTATGTATTAATAATGATATTTAATAGCTTAATCTTACTTAGATTTTATTATTACTTACCTACTATTAGCATTAGGCTTTGCTTTGATGAGATTTAGGAACTTTACTTAATTAAAGCTCAGGTCAGGTCAGATCTCAGATTAATGATGCATTTAACCCAAGACTTATGAATGTTTTGTAACTTGCGTAGGCTGTTCATTATTCATTTATTAACTCTAAAATGCTAATTCTTACACGTTAGTAGACATGCCATAATATTCTTAAGTCGTTACGTCAAGAACAAACTCACTCTCACCTTTAACTTTGGGAAGGTTAGGTAGGTACGGTTGCGATCGATAGCGACCTATACAGGGTGGAAAAGATAAGTGATCTCACTCGATTATTTCTAAACTATACAAGATATCGAAAAACTGGTTACCTACTGATCCTGAAAGTGCTTCAAGAGCTCTTGCAAACGGTATTAGTAATAGGTTACAGATCCAGTTAGGATCTATCCGAAAATTCAATGTTTTCAGCCTCCATACTAAATGTATGCCAGCCACGCAATATTAGAAGTGTTAATTTTTTATTTAATTATAAACACTTAAAATTAACTCGTAAATTGCATTCTTAATTAAAATTATTCATGGAAAACATTGGTTTTAGGTTTTACTCTTAGATTAATAAAACCTAGATAGATAGTCAGTGCACGAAAGGTGAGGCAGTTTTTAGGGAGCCGGCACGGCTTACCCGTAAACGTCACATGAACTGTCAAAGTGAAAAATTGGTGAACACGTCCGACGAATTTTAATAAATTAAAACGGTTTGTGCTGTGAAAGGGTGTCTAAAATACATCAGAAAAACAAAAGAAAGTGACCAGTGTTACATTTCATAAGTAAGTACTACGATTCTACGCGCATTTTGCTTGAATTTGGCTTTCAAAAATTAAATACGGGAATGATACCAGTAACAAGAAAATTTATTTCCCAATTGTTCGCCGTACAAATACATTTCCTTTTTTATGAAATCGAGACTTTTAAGTCGATTTATCTTATTGTTATTAGGTAGGTACTTTGAATTCAATAAATAAGTAAGTACATGATGCGTTTTGTTTTTGTTAATTATAAAATTATTAAAAACGTATTAAAAATTTCCCTACTTTCGGGAAAATCGCCTTCACTGTCTACACTCCCCAACAAAATTGACACTAATGACATAAGATTTTTGCCTCACTCTTGACGAAGCGTTTGTATGAAGACTATCCATCTAGGTTTTATTAATCTAAGGTTTTACTTGCTATAACTTTATCAAGACATGAGTGCCATGACTGTGGTAGTACTAAATGTATGGAAGCTGGAAACATTGAATTTTCGGATGGATCCAGTTTATTTTGTAACTTATTATTGATACCATTGGATAGAGCTCGTAAAGCACTTTCAGGATCAGTAACCAGTTTTTGGATATCTTGTATAGTTTTTGATATAATGTGGTTTTACTAAAAGTATGGAAGCTGGAAACATTGAATTTTCGGATAGATCCAGTTTATTTTGTAACCTATTATTGGTACCGTTGGATAGAGCTCGTGTAGGACTTTCAGAATCAGTAACCAGGTATTGAATATCTTGTATAGTTTAGAAATAATCGAGTGAGATCACTTATCGTTTCCACCCTGTATATAGTCATGCATGATGACAAATCTTTACAGTTATTGGTATAACCGGTTAGTTAGGCCTTATGTAGGTAAATATATTTAGAATGTCTTTTGTCTACCTATCTACTACGAGTAGGTATCTAATACAAACAACGTGTATTATTCTGTAGATGGGTACGTAACTATCCTGTTATGTTACTATCCTCAATGTTTTTCGTCTTTGTTTCTTCACCATATTTTGAACCTTATTGAGAAAACAAGGTTCAAAACTAATGAAAAATATTTTTCTCTATACCAGTTAAAGGGTAAATGTTTATTTGTATTTACTCTGGTTAGGGCATTTGGTATTTTTACATAAAACAATTTATTATATTTTTATCATAATTTATTGCATAATCATAAATCCCACCAAAAAACAATCAACAAATTTTACAATGAACAGTGAAAGCAGGTCATTTCAATGCAATTATGACTTACTTATTAATTTAAAGATAATTAATAGATCATAGTTAATGTTATACCTCAAATAAGTTTTTTTTACTATATTATGGTGTTATAATATTATATAAGAATCTTTTTGTGCCCACCATAATAATATATCAAATTCGTATAAATATAAAATATATTGTCCATTTCTGTGCTTTTAAACTTTCATACTTCAAAGTTCTAATAATAATGTAACACCATAATCAGTTGAGTATCCAAAATAAAAACGAGAAAAAAACCTAACTAAAGATGATTGAAAAAATGTGAAAAATATTGTCTTTCTTCATCAGTCCAATCAGAAAAACTTCTTTTTTGATATGCTACTTATTAATATTCATTTCAGAGTATTTTCCCAATCATCAACTAGGTTTTTATGGAAAGCAGGATTTCTTTTTAAAAAGTTACTTAATATAATTGTATTATTACTCTTTACATTTTAATTTTTTAATGTAATATGATAAGACATTGTCTTTACAATATTTTTATGAGATTTTAAATAACTTAGTTCCATTTTTTTATTACTATAGAAACTCAGGAAAACCTTCTCAACATATTTTAAACATGAGACAAGAGAGCTCAATTCAATAAACATCACAAAATCTTTTTTTTTTTCGTTTTTGTTTCTCATAAAATCTTTACACATATGAACACTTACAACAATTTAGAATATACTTTTAATTATTTATTTATACACCTAATGACCACATTATTCCTTGGATCATATAATTAATGCCCAATTTATTTAATGACTGTTCAATGCAAATAACTGATTTAACCTCATGACTATGTAAGTATGAAAAATAGATGGAATGTCAATTTAATATTGCATTTATGGACTTTAATGAGATAAAAGACTAAACTACAAAACCCGTTATTATAAATACTCACTAAGAACAAGAATATGTATTGACACATGAAAACAGCTAAAAAAAGATACACCAAATATAATATTCATATCAATGACATTATGAGATTCGATGCATTTTCACAACATCAATTGATTGTAACATTTATGATTCTATCACATAAACAACATGTAATCAGAGTGGTACCGTCTATGCAAGGACAATAAGACACTTTTCTACCAACACAAGAAAGGATGGTTATGTTGTGCAGAAGAAACCACCTTGGAAGAACTATAGAACCTCATCCCTGATGGTTGGGTTGACATTTGGAAGAACATAGTATCATGTGGTTGTTGAATGGGTCTTACGCTTATTTACTTAACACTGGTCTTAAAATTTAGTGCAAGGAACAGACAAAAATATAAATTAAGTACAATACTCTACCTATCACATAATAAAATATTTGAACAATAGAAAAATAAGATATTTAAGAGACCCTTTTATTACAAAATATATCAGGCGGTTGAAGACCAAATTTATGTTAACTATTTAAATAAGAAGTGCAGAATTTTGTAAGATAATGTTATTTTAAGACTAAAAGAAACACTATCATTATCATTAAATAAATAACGAATTTGGGGTCTTAAAAGTATTCTCCCCCCTACTACACAATGTGACCTCACCAGTAGTTACTTTAACAGAGCCCTCAGCCTCACAAAATTTTAACATTCCTGAACGAAATCTCCCCATTGATTAAAAAACTTACAAAATGCATTAAAATTACTTGTTTTAAAAATATACAGTGAAGCTATTGAATGTTTGTTTGTATACTACTTAAATTTATCTATGGTCTACTATCACATTTGGTATAGTGCGGGGCTAGAATGCAATCGACGATGGAGGCATGGAACATTCCCCAACCGTTACACGGTATGATGCAAGTTCACTAATGCCATGGTAATGTACAAACGCTGCCACAATGACCAGCACGTGGAATATTTGGTGTGACTGGAACCAGATGTCACATTTGCCAGGGAACCACCTTTCAGGCACACGCAAAGCATAAAACATAGCACCCAAAATGTACAATAGGCCCATAAGAACTAACCAACCAAGTGAAGCCTTGCTGACTTGACTGAACCATCCCTCGGTGATTCCGTAATGTATTGCAGGAACAATTCCAGACAAACCAAAACCCATAAATACTCCCGCTCGGAGAGGTCGCAGTCGGGGTTCAGAAAACCTGTCCCAAAGGGACACAATTATAGACAAAATTCCTAAAACAACCACTACAGATAAATATATGATTTTAGGTCTGTAATGGCAGTAGAAACTGTAGTACAACCATGGCACAAATGAACCCATGATGAGCAGGGCAATGCCACAGTAATCTAATTTTGAAAATAATTTTCCAACCATCTCCGAATGGCAGTACAGGGTATGGTAAGCAAAAGAAAATCCGAGGCAAACGATGGCGCCAATAAAGAACACTCCAAAGATCATTTTCTCCTGCATTTGAATCTCAATGGCTGGGCGAGACAAGAAGTAAATAGCGACGCCGATGAACGCAACGCAGCCAAGCAGATGGGTCCAAATGTTTCCAGTTTCTGTGTGGATACGGAAGATAGAGGCGAAGCATGCGCTGAAAGACGGGAGAGGAGGTCGGTGACCTTTGTGTAGGTAGTCGTTGTCCTGCAGCCAGCGCGGCAGGTGACGGAAGTGGCAGACGTTCCAGGACGCCTCCCACACCTTGCGGACGAACTCCTCGGCTTGCTCAGCAGCGTTGTGTGCGAGCGCACCGAGATCGATTTCGTCCGAGAGCACGCCAGCCTTCAACACCTCCGCCATCTCCGCGTCGAGTAGATGCTGATCTTCGGGCGTGGACGGCAACGGACATCCTTCCTCTTCCTCCGCCAGCACTTCGTCGAGCTCGTCCATCTGGGAAGCCAGACTCTCCGCTTCGGGATCCCATCCTTGGCGTCGGCGGAGCCCGTCCGAAGACACGCTCCGCGATCCCGTGTCGGAGTCCATTTCCCACATCTTGGGACCGTCAAAACTCACGCGACACGAACCCAGACACCATTTACGATCAACACGGTCCTTAGCGGTACACGAACAGTTACTCCGAGAATCCAGTTACGTCACGGAAACAACGACATACGCAATTAATTTTTATTTAACGCTCTAACTTTGCGATTGGCGTTACGTGAAAAATAAACATGAACACTGTATGAACGAACCACGAGAATTTAAACAAGTCCTTTGTAATGTGGAAAATTCACGATGCAATGAACAATCAATTACGAACAGCTGCAAAGAACTGTCATGCGTCCACCATTCAACACATTTCGATTGTCTCTGTCTCTGTCTTCGCGTTCGTTTCGCTCCGCTCGGTTTTCAATTCGTGTCACGTCACTACTTAGCATCTAGTGATGTGGTAAGGTAATATTGTTGTCGTACATCTCGATTATGATTTCAATTTTAAAATGGTTTGCATAAACCAACATACGTATAAAAACCGATCGAATTAAATAATTCTAGATCATAGACTGCATCTTACTAAACACTAGGTACGATTGCGGTCAAATACCCGCCTTGTCGTGCATGAAAAAAATTTGAGAACCTCCTTCTTTTGTTGAATTCAGTTCAAAAGCAAAAGCGTACCATCTAAGAAACTTCAAACAAAATTAATTGTTTCTATGAAATTCCATTGATGTAATATTTGAATACAGAACACAAACAATACATTACTTTAGAAAACCGATATGTCGGAAACTTACAGTTTCTGGGCCCCGATTGCGCTAATTTGTAGTCTCCAATTCATTCGCATTTCATCACCAACTGATGCGCAATTCGGTATCACGGTAAAGTTCAGACGCGTATTTTTTTAAAAGCGATTTTCACAGGTTTATAAAAATATTAAATCGTTATTACCTATCTAAAGCATAAAGTTTATAAGGATTATTTCACTGTTTTGTACAATAAATTAATCAATCACTGAACCCGTCATCACGTTTCTTAAGTACTTTCTCATAAACATCCACGATTTCACTCACGTAAAATCTAAAAAATCAGAGTTCAAATTTTCAGCGTGCCTCTGAATTTATGTACAAATAGTTGCAAAAAAAATGTTTTGACGTGAGCGTGACAGCGTCGGCATCACGCATCTCTTTTTATCACACAGTGTTGCTGCTAATGAGCTCTCTCGCTTAGTTATTTGTTGCTCTATTCCGCTAGGTAAATTAACTTTATGATCTAACTAAAGTTTATACAAATATTTTCACTTTTTAATAAGAGTATATGTTCAGGCACACATACTTTCAATGAGCACGGTACGATTGCGCGGGACCTATTTAAATCTGCCGCCAACTCCGTCCCGCCAAAACTTACACGGCGAGCGCGCGCGACTACAGTAGCGCCGCGCCGCGTCCACGACGGCAAACGAACGAAAGCGATGCAGCTCGTTACAATAGGTCGCGTTTGGGCCGGCTCCGCGAGTGCCACGCTTATTGTGTGCTCCAACGGAAATGTGAAATTTGGTGACTTTTTGGAAATGTTTTGTGTGTGAGGCCTCCACAGTACTTTGCTTGAAGTTAGTGACTCAAGTGAACCACCGAAGACACCGGGCGAAGCCCTAACTACCGGCCGGCGGCGTCCTACAGAGTACCTACCAGCAGCGCGGCGGCAGACAAGGTACCTGTTCGATTGTTGCTGTGTTTTGTTGATTGTGTTGTGCCTGGACGACACTGGGAAACTCATATTCGCTATCGAAGTAGTTAACATAATAATGAACAAAGAAGGAAAAGTAACATGATGATTATTTTTATTTAGTTTAAAAACTAATACTGAATTTAGCAGATTGATTGTTGAAACTAATGAAGAAGAAAAACTATGGCAGGCTGATTGTTAAACTTTTAAAGAGAAAGTGTATGCTTCTTAAAATTAATGAAGAAGAGAGATAAACTAATAAAGAAGAATATTTTTGTCGGACTGATTATTATAATTAAAAAACAGACTGATTTTTTTGTGCCATTACATTCTTAAAATTTAAATAAAACAGTTAAGAAAAAGATACAGTATTTTATTGTTTTCACATCTCTGACTCTTATTGTAGATAAAACATTTCAAATGTAGAAAGTTATTTCATTATAAGGTCCATACAGCTAAATAGCCCTGTACAGTTTATCGTTTCTTTGAGATACAGCAGATCCGCTGCCTGGGAATTGAAGTCAACTTAAATAAGCCATACATTTTACCTTCCTGATACAACATTTCTGCAGCTCGACATTAAAAAATCAATTGCTGTAACTAGTCAAAAGTCAATGAAGTAGTAACTCTAGATTATTCCAATCACCTTTATTAAATAAAGTTTAATTAGTAGACAAAACATGTAAAATTTCAGCTTTCTAACTTTCTTAATTTAAGATTTATGAATTTTTGAAATAGTTTTTTTGCTCTGGTGTAAAATCGGACTTTTTGAGATACGACAAAATCGCTTTCTGCCGTCGATGTACTTTTGTGTTATGACGAGAACGCCAAAGTGTATTACGGACTTTAAATGACGTTTTCCTGGATGTAATAACGACAGGTGGATCAAGTATTTCAGTAATGATCACAAATGAAAATGAGACCATTTATGTCAGATACAAAAATTGGGAAATTAGCTTTGTTTTAAAGTGTCAGAGTAACTGAATTGTCATTTAATAATCATCAGTGTATCTACCATGAGTTTACGTTAGGAGAGCTCGCTAGCGAGTACGTCAAAAAAATCTATGAATATTTTATTTCTTGAAAGTAGCCGCTAAGGGCGCTGCGCAATATGTCATACATTTAATGTCATTTTTTTACGCAGTCGCTAGCGAACACATCTAACGTAAACTCATGGTAAGCACACAGTTTGGTTGTATCTAGCCTCTACTTTTATGTTGTAAAAAATGCTTCGTAACTTCTATGGCATTTTTAAAAATCAAATCTTTGTTTTGAAATTCCTGAAAATGATTCATTTTCACTTGAGTTTCTTCAACATGAAATAGTTGCTACAAAAAATATAAAATTTAAAGTGCAACTGACAAGTTCTGCAAGAGAATCCTGATGTTAAACATCCACAGAAAGTTGGCCAACAGCCACAATAGCAAAAAATCCAAATAAACCCGAACCTACACTCATAACAGAAACTCCCGGCGATATTACGGTCGGGGCGATAAAAGAAATTCAATCCACATTTTTCAATCGTGCCTCCATAAAAATTTACCGATCGACGGTAGATGAATATTCAGCCGATACGTTCGGTCCTGTACCGAATCAAAGGGAAACACTTTGAAAAAGCTATTTGCTTCGCTGTTGCGTGCTTGTATAATTGGGTTGTCCGGACTTGGGTTCTGGAGCACTCTTTCGAAGCAATTAGGTATTAATTTGGTTATCCGAGCGTCGGTACCATTGATTGGTTCGTATCGGACTAACTCGTCTTTAAGATTTGAAATCAGTGGAACTTGGAGAGAAAAGTTTAAAGTTTACCACTAAAAAGAAACATAAATACGAGTATTTTATAATTATAAAAAGCACAGTTCTTACAAAATATGGTCGAAGTTAATGAAATTAAAACTTCCTAAGAACAAAATCTAATATAGATCAGATCAAATTACAGATTCAAAGATTGTATTACTGATGTAAAAGCCATTGGAATCTATGTCAGATATTGTCATTACCAACCGCTTAATCATTAATTTGCGAGCGACATCAAAGGCCGAGCACTGTGACCTGGCAACAGACGCCGCCGCCACGACTTGCGGGCGACTCAATGAGCACGTAATACTAACAATTTTATGGACCGGAAATATAGGAGGGAGCTACACGTATAATCTAAGAAAAATCATAGATCAATGAAAAATACGCAGTGAAAATAAAGACCTTTAAAATGTTAGACTAACAAAAAATTGACAAAATGTAAAACTGAGTCAAGGGGCGGCTCTTATTTATTTTATTGTCAAGACAATGAAAATTTTATAACAGCTAAAATATTCAAGAAGCAAATTTTATTTTCTGATAATCTTAAAGTTTCACACAAAGAAGATTCAACGGTGTTCAAATAAAGGGACAAAGATTTATTATTCTCCTGATTCGTTTCAATAAAACCCCAAAGGAATGAGGGACAGATACGGCGAGCGTCTTTTTATTATAATGAACTGCCACTTCTACGGGTAACTTAATTTGAGAGGTTTAAAAATGATAATTTGATTTATGGCGTCATTTATAAAGAATTTAGGTGGAGTATTATTATTTAAATCCAGGTAAATTCCGCTTGGTTGGTTAGTGATTTTTATCAGCTTTTTTATAATGTCCAAGATAAAACGTTTAATAGATATTCAATAGTGTTTTATAATGAGATTCAAAATACAGAACGGAAATAAAGTTCTTCTGAAACCGCAAAACTTCTGCAGATATATGAATATCTAAGTATTTATTATCTTACAAGTATCTATATTACCTGAATAGAAATCATGTTTTCAATATATCGGTACAAATGTAGGTGATCTATTTTGTATTGCTAGTTGATAGCCTTTCTAGATTCGCAATCCGCACAAAAAAGGTATAAGCTTTTCGCCCTGTCCATTGTTGTGGGTAGTCTATTATTGCAGACCGCCATTGTGATCTGTTGAAAGCCTGTGACAGTGTCGTTATTATTGCCAATAATAGGATTGTGGCGAAACTGTCAGCACATAATGTTAATATTGTAACTTGAGAGTTGATTATGTGTTGATAAATTGGATTATTGTAGTGGTTCTGAAGTGCTCCTTTATGATTGATGTGTCAACATTATATTATATTAATACGAAATAAACAATACTAAAAACAAAAACGAAATTAGACATTAGTTATCTAAAATATTTAGTAGCTCAATTAATCGTTTTGCTTTGTGAATATTAGACAGCTTATGCATTATGAAAGGTAAGTAATTAGTAGCTAATTGGGCCAAAGCGCAGGTAGCCACAATTTACGCACTTACTAATTGATATAATAGCACAGGCTACACCCGTTCTAATTAACCGATGTGAACATAATTAGTATGGTCGGTAGGACTTTGTGAGTATGAGGATTCAAATCCCAAACTGTGAAATCTATGTAAAGAAGCTTACTGTTTTTTTTACTTCTATTTAAAACTTTTTTTTCGTTTTTAAGATTGTTTTGTATAGAGAAAAAAATGGTTAAATACCTCAGCAAATAAAAAGCCCACATCTTAACGAGGGTCTTATCCACAATTAAATAAAGGAATAGGTACAATCAAATATATCTTTCGCGGGTCCTGACAAGATAAATGTTCCCTCTCTAGTATTTTATTGCCCCTATGTACGGCTTTTGCTGAATGATTGAATAACAGTGAGCTTGT